CAGCACTCTACCCAGGGGGACAGCTTGAGGCTTCTGTCTCAAAATAAAGAAATAAATAAATAACATAACTTGTACCCCATCTGTCAGACTCCCACAGTTTTCTGACATAATGCTTTAGGAGCTAAACAGATGTGGAGAGCCAGAGGCACCATGTGACATTTTATGTTCTTAGGGGCTTTCTAAATTTCCCCCTTTCTGTGACATTTCTCCTCCCTGTGCATTTCTCACTAGCATTTCTCCTCACTGTGACAACCACGATGTACAATTGTAATAGGCCCTCAGCTATGTTCATACCGTTTGTGTTTGGAATCAGTTATTACAGCTTTTAAGTCAGGTGCCTCTGGCTTCCTAGATTCTTGCCAGATGAACTCTTGGTCTCCCAACTTGACCAGAAGAGGCACCTGAAGTTGCTAAGAAACTGTTTGAGAGATTTAAAATTAGAGTTAGGATGAAGGTGACATTCCAAAGGAAAGTGTTCTGGGCAAAATAATGAAGTTGTTGTTTCCAACTGAGATATTTATTGAGTGGGCAAGATGTGCAGCAGTGCTCAGATTTCTGGGAGATAAACATTTGGGTAGTTCTTTAAACTCTGTAGACCTAAGAAAGGAAAAATTAGGAAACAATTTTGTTTTGACACCTAATGCCAGTGTGTGTTTCCTCACTGCTCAGGTGCCTGAAGGCTGGATTGACAGTGGACCCTGTGATTGTGGAGGCCTTCCTGGCCAGCCTCTCCAACCGGCTCTACATCTCCCAGGAGAGTGACAAGTATGTCCCAGTCCCCATCCCATTTTCAGCAGGCTTGGAGTGTCTCCTTGTCCCACAGCATAGGCCGGTATTGGGTTTGTCACCAGATTTCAGGGGTAGCCTTTCTGGGAATGTGCACCCTGGGCCACCCTGTTGTGATGGAAGATTTGTGTTCTCCAGAGCTTTTGTGTTTCTGCTGGTGGTTAAAATACTAGGCTGTTATTTTCAGGTGAACACTTCATTAAGGCTGTGATAAAATTGAGATCATAACTTCCAGGTTTTATTTGAACACTGCATGCCAGCAGACTCTTGACAGGGTGCTTCTGTTCTTCTCTCCTGTAGGGATGCTCACTTGATTCCTGACCACACAATCCGAGCCTTAGGACACATCGCAGTGGCCCTGAGGGATACTCCAAAGGTCATGGAGCCAATTCTGCAGATCCTGCAACAGAAATTTTGCCAGCCACCCTCCCCTCTTGATGTGCTCATCATCGACCAGCTAGGCTGCCTGGTTATCACAGGAAATGTAAGGAAGGCCCTGCTGTGAGGCAGAACCAAAAAAACCATCTAGCCCCTGCAAGCCTCATGAAGCTCCTTTGACTATAAGGGATGTAAAAAATACAGATAAATTTGCCTTGCAGATGAGCACCTTTTCTCTGATGAGAATAGTATAAGGTTCTGTTGAGTGCTGGTTTAATTTCTTGTCAATATCAATAACATAAATTGAATTGAAGCTGTTTCCCTTTGAGGTTTGTTTAAAGCTTTAGAAATGGATGCCCTTGGCTCAGTGCCTATAGCTCAGTGGCTAGGGCGCCAGCCACGTGCACCAGAGCTGACAGGTTTGAATCCAACCTGGGTCTGCCAAACAACAATGACAACTACAACCAAAAAATAGCCGGGCGTTGTAGTAGGTGCCTGTAGTACCAGCTACTAGGGAGGCTGAGGCAATAAAATCGCTTAAGCTCAAGAAGTTTGAGGTTACTGTGAGCTGTGACAACACAGCACTCTACGCAGGGCAATAGCTTGAGACTCTGTCTCAAAAAGAAAAGAAATGGATACCCTTGGCAGACACAGTGGCTCATGCCTAGAATCCTAGCACTTTGAAAGGGTGAGGTAGGTGGATTGCTTACATTCATGAGTTCTAGACCAGCCTGAACAAGAACTAGACTCAGTATCTAGTAAAAAAAAAAAAAAGAAGGGCGGCGCCTATGGCTCAGAGGAGTAGGGCGCTGGCCCCATATGCCAGAGGTGGTAGGTTCAAACCCAGCCCCAGCCAGAAACTGCCAAAAAAAAAAAAATTAGCCAGGCATTGTGGCAGGCACCTGTAGTCCCAGCTACTTGGGAGGCTGGGGCAAGAGGATTGCTCAACCCCAAGAGTTTGAGGTTGATGTGGGCTGTGATGCCACAGTACTCCACGTGGGAAGACTGTTAGAGTGAGACTCTTGTCGCAAAAAAAAAAGTAGTAGATGCCATGGTGGTTTAGGGGCTGTTACGGTCCACAGTTCCAGAGCTTTCCCTCTGAATGACTACCAGATGGGCCTTCCCTGTGTCCTGAGAAGGGGCTTTGTGAAGGAGTCAGGATGTGGTGACAGTGCTCCTCACTCTTTTCCAGCAATACATCTACCAGGAAGTGTGGAACCTCTTCCAGCAGATCAGTGTGAAGGCCAGCTCTGTTGTGTACTCAGCCACCAAAGATTATAAGGACCACGGCTACAGGTAACCAAACCTCATTGTCATTTTTGATCACTACAGTATTTAACTTCCTTTGAAATTGTGAGGTTTGGGAATTTGTCTGTCTCTTTTTTTCTGAGGCGGTGTCATTTTGGTGTCCAGGCCAGAGTGCCATGGCATCAGCCTTGCTTTTACAGCAAGGTCGAACTCAAGCGATCTTACTGCCTCGGCCTCCCGAGTACTGGGACTATAGGTGCCTCCTGCAACACCGGCTAGTTTTTCTATTTTTTGTAGAAATGGGGTCTGATTCTTGCTCAGGCTTGTCTCAAACCTCTGGCTTCAAGTGATACTCCCACTACAGGCTCCCAGAGTGCTAAGATTACAGGCGTGAGCCACTGTGCCTGACCTGAGACTTTGTTGCTTAAATCAAATCATCTTATAGAAGCACTATGTGCTGCAAACCAATCCCCACAGAAGGTAGGAAACAAAAACCCACACACAGCCCCTGCCCCTCCCTTCTGATCAAGCCCAAGCTGGCATACCCTGCTCATTTGCTTTCTGTATGCAATAATGCTTTGACTGCACCATAAATGTTCTTCTGCACGTTGCCATTAATGGCTGTGTTCCATCCCATTTTTAGCAGTACTGAGACTTATTCTACCACTCCCTAGCTTGCATGTTAGGTAGTTTTTCAGCTTATTTACTGGTAAGTGCTGAATTGGCAACCTAAGAGCTACACATCTGTGAGCATCTTTGAGTCTTCCTTCAGATTAGATTCAGAAGAGGATGTAGAGGGCCCAAGGTGATGGAGGTTTTATATCACTGAACATGGTTAAACTCTGGCCAAACTCCTGACAAACAGAGATGTTTCCTGTCTGTTTCTGTCCCTTACCTGGGAAGGCCTTGAGGACAGGGACATGCGTGTCAACCTGGGAGATAACTCAGTGGAAGAGAGGGAAGAGGAGGAGTGAAGTCAGACAAGGACAGGAGGCTGGCAGGGGTAGTAAGAGAGCCCCTTTTTTGGCATTACCCTTCCTGGCCATATGGCTCCTCTTCTGACTTAAATTCAGGCTTTTACTCTGAGATTCTCCCCAAGTCAGTTTAGCGGGCAGGGGTACAGCTGGGAGCCACACCACGTGGTGGCATGGCCTCAGAAAGTGCTGAACTCTGTGCCTTGATTTCTTTATGTGTCAGATGAGCACCTGTCTCCAATTCTGTGGGTAAACAAGATCTCGTGTTTGAAACTCAGTCTTTATGCATTCTTCGCCTGGTTAGCACTCCACTGCCTTCTTGCTGGCACTGTAGTGAGCCCAGGTAGGTAGCACAGCCTGAGACCAGATTGAGGAAGGAGCCAGGCTTACCTCTCCTTCCTCCCTCCATCTTTGTCTCTGGAACAGAACCGACATGCAGGCTAGAATACCACTGGGTCTTCATTGCTTCCCTGCTTCTGATGTGGCTGCTGGGCCCCCTGGCCCCAGGCACTCTTCACACCCCACCCCCCCGTCCCCCATCTGTGCTGTGCCCTTCCCAAGCATCTCATGGCCTGACTCTGCTGCCTGCTGTGTGCAGTGCCCGCTGTTGTGCTCTGTCCTGTCAGTTCTTTACCTCTGGCTCAACTTGGCACATCCACAAAGCCCTTTCTCATTGCTACCCACCATGATGTGGATGTGTCTGTGCACTGTATTTGCCTTGACCTACTAGGTGTTTAATCATGTCTGACTTTTGTCACAGCTGCCATTTGCTCTATGATTTCTGGGAAGAGAAATCTCTGATCTCTGATCTCTGTGAAGCTCAGTGCTTCATGTGGTGTAACTCCTCCTGCAATCCTATTAAGAGAATTATTCTTTTGTATTAACAAAAACTGAGGTTTGAGAGTTAAACAACTCACCTAGAGCTGTGCAGCTTGGGAGTGGCGGGGTCTGACTTTCCTGGTCTCCCTCACTGGTTCATAGCTTCCACATGAGGGGCAATGTCACCTTCATATTTGTGGCTTACATGGGGCTGGCCACAAACCTGCAGTAGGTTGTCCCAGGACCCTTGAACACTTGCTTAGTATTTGATGTGAACTCATATTGTCATCACCTTAACAGAGGAGGGGGTCTTTGGGGAGAAGCTGATCATGAGATGTAAGTTGCATGGGTAGTAAATGATGCTTTAAGGTTCTCTGGGATTTATGGAGAAAAGCAGGGTCCAAACAGGCACACCTAGGCATGGGCACTTCCGTCTTTGGCCAGGGAAGTGTCCTGAGACTGTCACAGGTCCCCAGGAGTGGAGATTCCAGGAAATTAAATAGCCCCTGGAAGTCCTTTTTGCATCTCAGAAGGGAAGATTAGTCATGAGGATGGCGTGTTTCTCACCTCTCAATGTTGACAGATGCTGAAAGTAGTGTATGAGGTAGGCTGGGCCTCGCAGTGTTTTCTCTCTTTCCCTCTCAGGCACTGCTCCCTGGCGGTGATTAATGCACTGGCCAACATCGCAGCCAACATCCAGGATGAGCACCTGGTCGACGAGCTGCTCATGAACCTGCTGGAGTTGTTTGTGCAGCTGGGGCTGGAGGGGAAGCGAGCCAGCGAGAGGGCCAGTGAGAAGGGACCGGCCTTGAAGGTAGGAAGGGGAACAGCTATGCCACCTGCCTTGCCCGTGTGTTTATCCCTGGTGGCCAGGGCTGAGGCTCCAGGTACCATCTTGGTCAGAGTGTGTATTTTCTTTGTTGAATGATTCAAATGCATTTGGCAGTGTCAGGAGGGGATGGGTTCTTTCTTTTTTTTTTTTTTTTTTTT